GCGTCTTTGTTTCCCGGCTTTGCGGTTGTTAGAGAGTATGCCAAATGCCCCCGCGTGGGAGTCCATCTAATTGGGTAGTGCTGGGGGGGGGGTGCATATGAATGCCCTATATCCTATTATGTGCATAGGTAACCCGCCATTCCTAACAGTGTTCATGTTACTGCATCTATGGCTTTTCAGTAAAAGTAAAACCTTCTTGGAAGCGTGTACTTCGTTGTCTTGCTGTGGATCCTGACAGTTCCCTTCAGTCACCATGGGTAGTAGCCATTGATAGAGCTATCTTCTCTGAATCTGTCGAATTGCCAATTAAAGCTGTCTGTGCCTGCGGCCATCATGAGATCCTCTGGCAGCGCATTCCACATTTTAATCACTCTCTGTGTAAAGGAGTGTTTCCTTTTCCTCTGGTAAATCCTGCCCTCCTCTCCTCTTTTCCAGATTATCGACCCGTTTGTGGAAGTGGAGATCATCGGCTTGCCCGTGGACTGCTGTAAAGAGCAGACCAGAGTTGTTGATGACAACGGTACGGCTTTTCTTCTCCCTCCCTCCCTTTCTCAGTGATCTGGGCTTGCCAATGTGGCTACCCTGAGTACAGAATGCTAAGGTCATTCCAAAGTTGATGAGTGATAGAAACCCACAGAATGACTGGCGACGAGGTTGTGTGTGTATGTGTGTGTTAAAGGGAGAACCCATACAGACAGGACAAAGATCACAGATCTGTGAAAAGTAAATTGCACAGGCAGGCAACCGCATGAAATATACCTGTTACAGAATAATGAAGGTGGTGCTCTGTTGTGATTATTCACACACTGCCAATTAGAATATGAGCAGGGAGCCTTCCTCAGTAGCTCCGTTCAGGCATAATAGAAGACTGGTTTCTTGTGCCTTCAGTTAGTTAATTTTACAGTGTCTTTCAGCTACGACAGTCCGCAAATCCTGGGTTGTTTTCACCAGTGCTGATTTTGTCGCCTTTCATCTGGTTGGGTGTGTCTGTAGTTGGGGTTTGTGCAAAGGTGAACTTAGGCAGTTCATGAGAGGGAGGGCAGGATGGGTTGACTCAGTGCTTAGTTCTTGTGGCCAGTGTTCCCTCTAAGCTGAGTTAGTGTGAGCTAGCTCACCGTTTTTTAGCCTCCAGCTCACATATTTTTATCTTAGCTCAGGAAGGAGGGCTCCAGAGCAAACTAATTTATGCAGTAGCCAAGTCACTTGCTCACAACTTTAATGCCAGTAGCTCACAAAGTAGAATTTTTGCTCACATGACTCCATAGCTTAGAGGGAGCATTGCTTGTGGCCCTTTTTTACGTGCCCAAGGAAATGCTATTGCCACTTTGGAGTCAGGAAGCAATCCTGGAGGTTTTTAAAATCATCTTCTGGGTGTGGAACAGCGGTCACTGTGGGTGTGGAGGGGGAGGTATTTGTGAATTTCCTGCATTATGCAGGGGGTTGGACTAGATGACCCTGAAGGTCCCTTCCAACTCTATGATTCCATGGTTTCACCAGGGAACAAGCTAGGATTAATCTTGGATGTCTGTATTTGTACAGCACATGAAATCAGACAATTCACAGAGATTAAAAACCCACCGTGACTTCAGATCTTGGTTTGCTGAGCCCTAACCAGCCATCTTTGGTACTGTGGCCTGCATTCAGATAATAACACCAACCATGGTTCAGTTTAAGTAACCATGGTTTCATTTTATACCTCAGCTGAGCCAGTGCAGACTGAAAGAATCTGGTATTCTCCTCCTTATGAATGCTTCCATCTGTCTTTTGCTCTGGGTCTGTCTGTCCTATGGACAGTTTAACTGTAGGGATTGTGCCAAATGTTGTGAATATGTTTGATATCCTGACCTACGAAACCCCCCATCTGGGACAAACCGATGGAAAATTGTGAACAGCATACACATACAATTGCGTTCTGTGTCTTGGACAGTGTGAATCATAACTTTGGATTCCAGGAAGGTGGAGAGGAATCCAAAGGACACGTTTCAAAAAGAAAAGAGGGTGTTTTCTTCTAGCCGATTTGATTAGATTATGTAATTACATCAGGAAGCCAAATCAGAGTAAGGGTAATGATTCCTGCCCTCACACTGAATAGGCGGACATTTTCATCCCACTAATAGGTCTCCTGATGAACTATCATAAACATGTGGAGGGGAGACTGTTTTGTAAAAGGTAACATTTTTTTGTGAATCAGGAGGACCCTGTTTGGACACAACCCTGTTTTCTTTCCATAAACCCTGGGAACGATGATTCTGTTCAGGATCACATTCCCAGTATATGCTACACTGCAAAGAAAATATTTTAGCGGAAGGCAAATGTCTTCCATCTCTCCTACAGGAGAAATAGACACACACACCGGCTGTCATAAAACCAAAGCCTCTGACTTTCCGTTCCACAGGTTTTAACCCAATGTGGGAAGAAACCCTGGTGTTCTCCCTTTGCATGCCGGAGATTGCACTGGTGCGGTTCCTGGTGTGGGACCATGATCCTATTGGGAGGGATTTTATTGGACAGAGAACAATCGCATTTACAAGCATGATGCCAGGTAAGATGGCAGCATTTTATATTATTTTATTTTAGTTGTTTATTTTATTTCGAGGAACACTGTCTTGCAAAGATCCTGTTTTGTCACAGTGTTATTAACCATACGCAGCTTTTAAAAGGTCTGGTTCTGAATGGCTCCCATTAAGTTCTGTGCAGGGATGCCTGGTCTCCTCAAAGTGCTGGCAGTGAGATTGGGGGTGGGGGGGTGTTCCGGGACATCACCAACGGGATGATCTGGGGAGTGGTGGCACAGGGGATTTATCCTCTGGTTACAAGTAACATCTGAGCTGAACAGAACTGCTGTCGGTTCTAGCCCCGCGCTGGTGTGATCTACCAGCCTTGTCCCCAGCTCGCCGTCCACCCAGCGGTTCGAAAGCTACGGCAAGTAGATAAAATGGGTACCACTCCTTAGAGAGGGTGGGCACACCAACCCCCCCCCCCCATGGGGGAGGTGTTAGCCGGTAAACGGAAGGTTCAGCTCGCAAGATCAAAAGCCTAGAAGATCTCTTCGGCATTAAAGAAGCCCGTAATGGGCCGTTCCGGCCAGGAGGTGGCAGTATGGAGCTGCGACCCAAAGAGTCCTGGAGAGGAAGAGCTGACGTCATCCAGCCAAGCCAAGCCGAGTGGGAAAAATGCGGTCCGGATCACGTCTGAGTTGCAACCGAACAAATCCCCATCGGCTGCAAAACGTGTGCTATGTAAAGATTATATGTGTTGTCCTCCCTTACCCCTATAAAGCATTGTTAGTCCCTTGTGAAATGAGTAACTGTAAATCGCTCAGAGCCAGCAGCTCTGCAAGGATTGAGCGATCAATAAATTGAAAGATGATGATGATGATGATGATGATGATGATGATGATGATGATGATGATGATGATGATCTCACCCAGAAGTGACCTCATCGTGTTGACAACGTTGCCTGGCGACACTCTGGTTTTAGGCCAGTTATCATAGAGTTTTGCCCTCAAACCAGAGCATCACATGCAGTGTCCCCGACATGATAACGTCACTTCCAGGACCAGGGGGCTGGCAACCCTTATCTGTGCAGTAAATGGAATGTACTGAGGTCAGCAGTTGTGGTGGGAGAAGGGCAGAGGTTGTTTCTCCCAAGAGACCGAAATGGCCTCGGGCAGATTTATTCCATATACGTCCCGTCAGTCTCCGATAGGATGATTTCAGATTTCTCATCTCCGCTGTTCTTAAACCCCCAAATCCCTTTTTCGGTTTGCTTTTCCCTTGCGGCAATCAAATGCATGTTTCTTTCCACTTGGGTCTTTGTAACTGGGTGTGTGTGTTTGTTTGTCTCTCTTCACACCTGATTTCCCCATAAAAACTGAGCAGTTTTTCCATGGCTTCTCGTGCATTAATAAACAAGCAATATATACCACATTAACAACATACATTGTAGTGTACTTACAAAAAGCCATCTAAGGTGTGGAATTTAAAGACTACGCAAAAGCCATACAACTACAGATTTGTCTGCAAACCCAGTGCTGATGTACAAAGACCAAAAAGAAAAAGAAAAAACATTGGCAAATATATTTTTTGAAAAATGAAATGGGCAAAGTTTCATTCTGTAGTATTTGGGGGGGGAGGGAAAGCACCGCCCCTTTTGGTGGGTCCCAGGGAATGGCCTGACCTCCTCTGAGGCCCCCCAGTGGAGTATGTGGAGGAGAAAGAGATTGGATTTGTACCCCGCCTTTCACTCGGAGTCTCAGAGCGGCTTACAAACTTCTTTCCCTTCCCCTCCCCACAACAGACACCCTGTGAGGTAGGTGGGGCTGAGAGAGCTCTGACAGAAACTTTTTCAAGAACAGCTCTTATCAGAACTACGGCTTGCCCAAGGCCATCCAGCCAGGTGCAAGTGGAGGAGTGGGGAACCAAACCCGGTTCTCCCAGATTAGAGTCCGTGCACTTAACCCCTTAATTGCCTCTTACTGGAGGTCTCCACTTTATATGGACCCCCCTTCTCCTGCTGCCAGTCATAACGATAGACAGGACTGTGGTTATTTGCCAGCTGCCAATTTGTGCGATTCAGGCTCGATGGGAGGGATTTCGCAGTCAATTGGGTAAACTTCAAAGCCCTTTGTGAAAGGAACCAGTCTTTTTCTTGCTCTCTTCCCCCCCCCTTTTTTTGGCCTCATTTTTGCTGGCAGTTCCCCAGCGGCCGCAATTACTGCCTGTACTATTAAAGCGAGCCTGTAGTTGAATATCTGCAAAATATAGAGGCTTTAAAAACTCTTCTCCCTCCTCCCCGCCCCCATCTATTTCCTCCTCTCTCTCTCTCTCTCTCTTTCTTTTTTTTCTTTTTTGTGCCTTCCCAATTCAGATAAAAGCTCCCTGCTTGTTGTTAAGGTTCTCCCCCCCCCCCTTCTTTCTTCTTCAAAGCAGAGGAAACTTGGCCAAGTATTCACGAAAAGGGGGAAAGAATCCATCTGGCTTTCAGAAAAAGAGTGAAAGAGAGAGAAAGAGAAGTTCCGATTATGACATTAATAATGGCTCCCGAGGGAGCAGGGAATCAATTAATAATGCTGAGATTGACGGCCACAGCCGGGAAGAAGGCACAGAGTCCTTTGATAACCCGGGGAGTTAAGGGTGGCCTCAAACATAGCAAGTGGGCCTCTTCTCAGGCAAATCAAATGTGTCAGCAAGATCTTAAAACAACAACAGCCAAGAAGACGCCCTTAAAATAAGAGGCTGGGAGTTTCAGAATTCGAGTTTGCTAATTTCATTTCCAGCTCTGTAAGGTTAACTTGCAGACTCGGATTGCTTGGCATTTGGGTTGGCAGATCTGTGGTCTGGACCAGTGTCCCCTCTAAGCTGAGTTAGTGTACACTAGCTCACGGTTTTGTAGCCTCCGGCTCACACATTTTTGTCTTAGCTCAGGAAGGATGGCTCCATTGTGAACCAATGTATGCCCTACCCAAATCGCTCGCTCACAACTTTAATGCCAGCAGCTCACAAAGTAGAATTTTTGCTCACAAGACTCCACAGCTTAGAGGGAACACTGGTCTGGACTACATAGGTGTCAGGAGGACTGGCAAGGGGGGGGGGGTCATCCTCGAACCCTGGGGCTTCTGGAGCCCAAACTAAAGTCTTGCCCCTGCTCCCCTGTGGGGCCCAGTCAGTTTCCTGGGACCGTCTAGCTCTGCCTGCCCCATTTCCTAGCTCCATCCCTCTCTGTTATGATTGGTTCCAGCCAGTTGGTCTCCTTTGTCAATTTCCTCTTCCTTTAAGTGCCTTAAACTGTGCAATGAATATGAGGAGCTGCCTGATGTAACTAGAGAGAGATGTTCTCCTAGATAAGGTTATTATGTTTGCCGCAAGGGTTCCGACGGGACCCTAGAAAAACGCTGCTATTTTAAGAGCTTTATACTCACAAAGAGAATTTATTGCACCCTATGTCTTGTATATCTTGAGGAGCTGCGGTGGCTCAAGTGGTTAAGACGCTGAACTGCAGGCTGTGGAAGGTCAGACGGGACCCTAGAAAAACGCTGCTATTTTAAGAGCTTTATACTCACAAAGAGAATTTATTGCACCCTATGTCTTGTATATCTTGAGGAGCTGCGGTGGCTCAAGTGGTTAAGACGCTGAACTGCAGGCTGTGGAAGGTCAGTAGCTCAGCAGTTCGAGACCCGGGTGCCGCAAGACGGAGTGAGCTCCCGTCTCTAGATCCAGCTCCTGCCAACCTAGCAATTCGAAAGCAAGAAATTGCAAGTAGATAAATAGGAACCACT